CGGATTCATTATTACACACCAGAAACTAAACAACAATCAAAACAATGGATTTCTCCCGGTTGAATCTGTTCCAAAGAAGGCGAAGACGGACCCGTCGGCCGGAATGGGCATAGCGACAATTTTTTGGGATGCGAACGGCGCCATCCTCATGGATTTTTTTGGAAAAAGGAAGAACGATCACCGGACAATATTACGGTGAGTTATTGGACGGCTTAGACAGAAAATTGAAGGAGACACGGGACACGGCCATATTTGGCGGCAAATAAGGTGCTGTTTTACCACGATAACGCACCAGCACATTCATCCGGAGTTGTCGTCGCCAAACTGCAAGAATTATGTTATTAAGAGCTGCCCCCGTATTCCCCCGATCTGACCCCTGCGACTTTTTCTTGTTCCCTAACATGAAGAAATGGCTCGCGGGGAAAAATAGCTTAAACGAGGAAGTAATCGCCGAGACAGAGGCGTATTTTGAAGAGTTCGACTAAACCTATTTTCTGGAGGGGCTAAAAAATGGCAGGAACGTTTGGAAAAGTGTCTTTCTAAAAGAGAATTATGTTGAAAAATATTTTTCATTTTTTTTGGAAAAAATTGTGTCTTCATTTCTAACACGGGTACTTATTCAACCGCTCTCGTAGCGGCAGCTGCTGGGAAAAAGCTAGAATTTGTTTAGAGTAAAGAAGTACTTTTCTACGCATGACTTTCTCACTAAACAAGGCACACATAAGGCCTAGCCTCGAGTATTGCTCACACGTTTGGGGTGCTGCCGCACCGACTACATTCTTTATGCTGGATGCTCTCCAGAGGAAGGCTGTCCGACTGATCGATGACTCTTCTCTAACAGACAGTCTTGGGACCCTTTCGCACCGAGGAGCCGTCGGCGATTTAGCTCTCTTCTACCGCTACAGCAACGGGCTTTGCTCCTTGGAGCTCTCTTCCATGATGCCGCCACGCGATGTGCCTGCCAGACAGACCCGCCTGACGTTGGTCTCTCATCCTAACCGTGTCGAACTTTGTACATCCAGAACTGGCCGATACGACCGTCGTTTGTCCCGAGGATGTCGAGACTGTGGAACAATCTTTAAGTTCTACTAACCTTTGGCAGTTGAAAAATCGGATTAACAAAATTTTTTTGGGATCGTCATAGCAGCCGCGGAGTCCTGGCATTTAGGGATCTGCCTGCGCGGCTGCTCCGGTATAAAAAAATAGATTGCAGAAAAATTTATTTGTATTGTGGACTAATACATTATATTAAATATTCAAAATACTTGAATCGTTCCATTCATAATTACCGAACAAGATTCAATCAAAATTCAATGTGTATTCTACAAACAAAAAAAAACCATTACACAACAATCACTGTTTTTCTTGGGACCAAAATTCTGTAACTTCATACCAGTCATTAAAAGCAATTAAATCAGTTAATTAATTTAAGAAAGAACACAAAAAATGGATTTTACAACAACCAAGATGCTCCATCCACGAAATTGTAGATATGAAAAATCATTATAAAAATCAATAATATTTTACTTACACCAACATTCATACTTTTGCTTTAGTTATACATAATTGTCTGGATATTTTTTCTGACATCCCTATAATAATTCAGTTCAACAAATTCTATCGTATTTACCTTTGTCAAAGATTGACTGTACTTTTAGTTTGTATTTTCAACAAACCCAAACAACAAGTGCAAACTTTGTTGGCAGCTTTATGTTTATTCTGCACAATATTTAATGTTTACCTGGACTTAGTGACAATAAACATTATTATTATATCACGACCTCTGGGCTCAAGATCCGCCCATGGTACGGAGACTCGATCTGTTAACTTATTTCATCTGGCGTTGATGACGTAACCGCCAAGAACGGTGACTACAACTATACCTTTGTTTTAGTCAATATTTGGGATATTAAAATTGACAAGTCGCTGATTCAAATGATATAAGAGCCAGTATAATTTAGTAACCTTTATTTTCGGTATTGGGCGCATCTTGCCTAATTCAGATTTTTTGTCTAAATCATCAGATAGTAGGTCAACATTTGAGAAATACCTTGCTTCTCAGTTCAGCACATTGACCACCGCCTTTTACATGTCATGTAAGCCATACCATTCCCAGTTACCGACTACATAATGACGGCTATGGTAGATTGACACAGCTCAGGTGGGCTCTAGGTGAGTAGAACGAGAGAACAGTTAGCCCAAGGGGAATATTATTTTAGTTATGTGGTCCTAATGGGCTTATAAGGGATATTTTGATGTATTTTAAGATGGTGGATTATCGAGATTAGTTTCTATGGTGATAATGGGATGTGTCGAATATTGAAATATTAACATGAGGATTATGATGAATTTTCCCCAGGTTATTTTTGATATGGGTCTATTTTAAGCATACTAAGAAGGTGAAAAGGGTTTTAATGATATAATCATGTTATAAAGTGATAAAGCGTATACGAAGTGTCATGATTGGAGTTTAATATTGCATAATATTTTATTTATCGAACATCTCACCATAGATCCTTGGGCATACTTATACGACTCGAACCCATGAATCTATAAAGCCTGATATGACAATTGTGTATACAATCCATCCCGGCATAGCAGCGATTCCAGATTGATGCATTACCAGTATTTATATCAGAGATGAAATATATTCACTTTGCCTATTCTTTCTTCTTTACCGCTAGTGCGAACTTATGTATTGAACCTCATCAAATTGTAAAGATAATAAAGTGATTGAAATTAAAAGGAGGGACTACCTTCATAAAGTAACTCCCTCCTCCTTATTTAAAATGTCTTCTAATGGTATTTTAATGTTTGGTTGATGATCCTGCCTAACAGAAAAAAGGCACCTACTGTCCGAGCACTGTCATTGGACTTGCTTGTAGCTAAAACATGGATGACTGTGTCAGCATAAGTTTTATGCACAGGATCAGTAAACAAAAGTTTGTAACTGTTGCAAATACAGCTTGTATAATTAGTGGCGCTGATCTGAAAAATACTTATAAACCATTTAGTTTATTACTTAAACCATTCGTATTTTAGTGTCTTGACGTTATTTTTAGGTATTTTGGCATTTAAACCCTTTGATAAGAGGTTTCATGCCATCTAGCATTTTATGTAAATATTCCTGGAAGCGGGAACACATTATTATCACGCTATGTGATGCCACATATATGGTATTCTTGATAACATATACAGTGCTTGTCTTTAATGCCCCCCTCCCCTTTGATTTTTTGAGCGGATCAATTCAAATAATTAAAACTTGAGGTAATGAAATTGATGCGTGGATACCATATTTTAGAGTAAAATCGACAGATGAAAATGTCAAGATGGCCGCTGGCCGCCATCTTGGAGAAAAAATTATATGAAAACGGGGGTCTTGTGGCACATCATCTTGAAGCTCCTGGCGAGTACTTTATAACCCTAGAATATAAAGTCATTACCTTTACCTACTACAAAATGGTGGTACATTTAATAATTACCTGAATACATTGTAGTAGTAGAAGTACATTTATTTAGAAATAAATTAAAGGCCCAAAACAACATAGGCGCTGAGTGCACTTTCAATATAGTTTACAAATATCCAGCTAGGTATAGCAAGATGGATATTGTAGCAGAAACGGATCCTTCGACTTTTCACAGACGCTTGCATGTAAATAAAGTGAATATAGGTTGGAGCAGGTGTAATGTTTTTGAGCATCTTTCTATAGTGCGATGCTTCAAATGCTGTGAATACGGTCATGTTCAAAAAAGTTGTGTGAAAGATATTGTTTTTCCTCTGGGTATGGGTAATCACGAGAGGAAATACTGTAAAAGTCCTAGACTTAAGTGTGTCAATTGTGTAGTTTTTAATGAAAAAAACAAAAAAAATATAGATACGTGTCATGCAGTTTGGCATAAAAAGTGTGCCTCTTTAAAAAAGGTGGAAGATATAGTTCGTAACAAAACGAACTACTGTCAGTAGTTTTTTTTTCAGGGTTAAATTTAAATTCAGCAGAACAGTTTTTTATCGTCACTTTGAATCCCATACGAACTCTTTTTTGTACACACTTTCTAATCTTTCTTCTTATAACCTCTTACTACAGTCTTTGTTTGTTTCTTTTTTGTTAATATTTTAACGATCTTCTATAACTGATAAACATGTATGAATTTGATGTTATTGCAAATGAAGACCATAATTTATTGATTGGCTTTCTAAAGGTGAGATCCTTGACTAGCTCCTTCAGTGATATTAGGGATTACGTTTTGCTTCAAAACTTCGATGTGTTTGGTTTAACAGAAACATGGCTTAAGCCTGAAGTTTCGAATAAGCATATTGATATTGAGAGCTTTCAACTTTTTCGATCAGACAGATTTGGCAAAAGAGATGGTGGGTTGGCTTTTTACATAAGAACTGGCCTTAGTTGTTACATATGTAACTCAAAAAGTCAGGTTGAAGCAGGTCTAGAACAACTATGGGTTAAAATTTAAATTAATAAGCACGTATATGCAACTGATATTGTTTATAGACCACCGTCGGTAGTTTTCTCAGCACTGTTAGATCTGGAAGCATCTTTGGAGGACTTTCATTTGGAAGTAGATAGCATAATTTGTATGGGTGACCTCAATATTAATTTTTTGAATAAGCCAGGTTCAAGTTATGATCCTAAGTAACATATTGAGAGACTATGGACTAGCTCAGATTGTTGAAGAACCAACCAGAGTTACCAATTTCACCTCTACATTGATTGGCGTGGCTTTTGTTAGTCAAAATGTACCAGTCACTGAAACTGGCACTGTTAACTTCCCTTCGATATCTATCACCACCTTGTATATTTTCGCGTAGAATCACTATCTGTCGCCAGCAATGTTTAGTATATAGACACAAGAAATTTAAAGAATATGGACAAGGAACCTTTTCATTACTGTCGCCTCTTCTCTCTACTGGTTAGGTGTGATCCATCATCCTGATATTAATTTTAAAGTTGAGTATTTGAATAAACTAATTCTATTTGTTCCAGATGCATGTGCACCTCTGAAATACAAGAAGGTATCCAAAAGGTATCTCCCTTGGATCACACCGAACATACGTCTCATGATGAAACTAAGAGATAAAGCTTATTTCAGTTATAAAAACTTAAAAAAGAAAAATTCTAGCAAAGAAGTCATTGAACGAAAATGGACTTATTACGAACAATTACGAAATTTAGTAACTGCATCCATCCGTAGAGAGAAGAAGGCTTGCGTTGAGTATCAATTGAAGCAAAAGCGCAATTCTCGTAGCTGGTGGAAATGTATCAAGCAGTTAGGTATACATGGTAATAAAAATAAGTTTAATGACTGCTCTTTTGAACCTGACTGTCAATAGTTTCTTTAGAAATTCTATTCCAAATAGCACAATAGATGAATTACTACTAGTGTACTATGAAAATCACAAGCATCGTTCTGTTGATGAGGATTTTAACTTCACTTTAATATGTGAGCAAATCATATTTGACGAGTTTATGAAAATAAAATCAAATTGTGCAGGTCATGATGGACTAAGCCTAAGTATATTGGAAATGTTCATACCATATTGTCTCAATGCTATTACACATATCATTAATTTTTCTTTGAAGACTGGCACTTTTCCAGAATTGTGGAAATTAGCAACTGTAATAATAATAATAATATAAACGTTTACTGAGATACAACTCAAAAGAAAAGGGTATTGTACAGCACCTTTGCCAAAGACTGATAATCCGCTGGAACTTAGTGATTATAGACCTATCAGTCTATTGCCTATATTGTCTAAGTTTTTAGAAAGAATTGTATTTGGGCAGATGTCTATTCATATAAAAAAATATAACTTGATACCTTCCACACAATCAGGCTTCAAACCTGGACATAGTACTGTAACTGCACTGATTGAAGTCAGTGACGACTACTTAAGAGCCATAGACGATGGTAACGTTACAACATGCGTGATGCTAGATCTGTCTAAAGCTTTTGACTGTATAGGTCATAGATTTCTTTTGTCAAAACTGTATTTTTTTGGATTTGCTGCGTCATCTCTTGCCTGGTTCTCTAGTTATCTATCTGGTAGATCACAAATGGTGAAACTTGGAGGAAAAATATCTTCGAAATGCAATGTTATGCAAGGTGTTCCGCAGGGTTCGATCTTGGGGCCAATTTTATCTTATCTTTTTGTATCAGATTTCAACGAGTCTATTTCTTATTGTAAAGTTCACTCCTATGCAGATAACACCCAGATCTACCTTTCATACAATCCTGATGATTTTTTACAAGCCAATACCAAACTGTCAAAAGACCTACAGGCTGCAAATCAATATTTCTTTAGCCAGGGATTACTTATAAATCCAAGAAAATCGACCGACATTGCCTTTAAATCCAAGCTAAGCAATTTTGACAGTAAAGTTGTCAATTTATCTATCGGAGGTGAGCCACTCCATCATAAACTACAGATAAAAAATTTAGGTGTGATTTTGACTCACCGTTAACATTCCATGACCATGTCACAAAAATAGTACAAAGCTCATATAGTGCCTTGAAAAGCTTATATAGTTTCAGATACATACTTTCTGAATCCGCCAAAGTTAGGTTAACTAATTCGTTGATTCTAAGCAAAGTAGTATATGCTGATTCTATGTTTGGTCCTTGCCTGATACAAAATGAATCCTACAGGTTGCAAAAGATTCAAAATGCATGTGTCCGTTATGCAGTAGGTGTCCCCCGACGAGAAAGTATATCAACATATTTGACGCGTATTCCATGGTTAACTATGAGAAAAAGGTTGATGGTACATCTGTGCTGTTTGGTGCATTCCGTTCTTTGTAATTATCTATGCGTAATCAATATCATAATGCCAATCTTAGATTTGTCAATCATACACTGCATATTCCTGCTCACAATACATGTAATTTTAAAAAATCGTTTTCTTATATCTGCATTGTATAATAAAATACCGCTTTCAGTCAGGCAGCTACCACTTAGTAGATTTAAAGAACAAATCAAGTAGCTCATATTTAGAGACGGCCTATCTATATAACTGTAGACAGACTCTTGTTGTTTTTTTTTCTAACACTCTTATAAATTATTAAATTTTATTGTAAAGGTGCTTGTAAGCAATTGGTGCCCTGGTTAGGGAGTAAGAACAGCTGCTAGCTGAATCCTCGCCAGGAAAATAAAAGGCATTTAATTATTATTATTATTATTATTATTATTATTATTATTATTATTATTGTTATTGACATTTAACTTGATAATTCGAATAAATACGTTGAGTTCAGTTTAGAAGATGCTGGAAATGGTTACCTTGAACTTCTAGTCACAATAACAGCCGGTCCGTAATTTCGCGTCGAACATTTTCAAACATAGTAACATCGATATTTCTACAAATATTTGTTATTCTCAGCCGTATATCCAATATGGAACCAGGTCCAGTTTCGTACACCTTTTGCTTCAAACAGCCCCATAAAAAAAGTCTAAAGGTGTCAAATCTGGCGATCGAGCTGGCCATTCCACAGGACCTCGTTGGCCAATCCAACGACCGGGGAAATTGTTATCTAAACAATTCCTAACTTGTCTGTAGTAGTGTGGTGGAGCACCATCTTGCTGGAATACAATATCAGTATCGAATTCATTAGGATTCGCTTCGACGATTTCGGTGATTAGAGGGTCAATAGAATTTGGCAGCATATCCAAATACAGTTCCCCGGTTAAAGTTTGTTCGATGAAAACAGGCCCCACCTTATGATTTCCCAATATCCCAGCCCTAACGTTAATTTTTTGTGGATGAGTTTCCCGGAAGACGTGAGGATTGCTGTCACTCCAATAACGACAATTTTGTCTATGCACATTACCGTTGAGAAAAAATGTACATTCATCACTAAAACAAATATTTTGGATATAGGTAGGAGGATGCCGAGCAATGGTTCCCGTCTTAGTCTCGCAGGATTATGTTCTTCGATCTGGGTCATCTTCAGTTAGCTGATGTACCATTTGAATTTTGTATGGGGGATACTTATTCTTTTTCAAAAGTCTCCATACAGTAGAAGGACAAACCTCACATACATTCGCGATCAAGTGGACTGTTGGGAATTTACTATGATCTCACCATTTATTTGAACTTGCTTTTCTTCCGGGATGGTCGGATGACCTAGGGGCTTCTTGTTGTTTACACTACCAGCAGCTGTAAATCTAGATACAAGTTCCCTTAAATATTTTCTACATATAGGGCGATTCGGGAAACGATCATTAAAAATCCCTTTCGATCTCGTTACGCGTCGCACCATAAATAAAAATCGCTTTGATTTTTTCTTCCAATGGACGAGAATTGACCATTTTAAAAATAGTTCAAACATTATCTAGCACTAAAACCGAAAACTAAATAAGAATATTTTAACTGTACTATGCTGTTTGTTTTCGTACTGATATTCTTGTCACTGTCAACAAAAAATAACAAAACAAGTTTTTATCGCTGTTGCTGTAGATACGGCAGGACATTACAATTATTTGTAGAGATATGCATGTTAGTGGGTTTGTGTTCAAGTAATTATTAAATATACCACCATTTTGTAGTTGGTAAAGGTATTGATTTTATACTCTAGGGTTATAAAGTTCTCGCCAGGAGCTTCAAAATGATGTGCCACAAGACCCCCGTTTTCATATAACTTTTTTTCCAAGATGGCGCCCAGCGGCATTTTCATCTGTCAATTTTACTCTAAAATATGGTATCCACGCATCAATTTCATTATCTCAAGTTCTAATTTTTTGAATTGATCACTTCAAAAACTCAAAGAGGAGGGGGACATTAAAGAAAAGCACTGTATGTATATATACATACATATTATATTTATATGTATATTATCAATTATTATGATAATATAAATACACTATATACAAGATACACTCTTTCAGACGCTCATTTTGAAGTTACGTGTTATTTTTCGTTTTCCCAAGCTTTGGGTCGAATATATTGATCCCCAATGTGACATTTGAAACATTCTGTGGCTTTCATGTTGATCATTCTCTATGTTTCTTTGACCCTTAAATGTAGAATTAACGATTTACTGATAAATCGTCTTTTTATTAACGTTTCGGCCACCTCGGCAGCTATTTTCAATGTACAGGTCAAGAATGACAATGATAATATATATATATATACGCGAGCAATAGTCACTGCCATTGCGATTGTCTTTTGTTTTATAATCGTAACAAGTGGTCTTATCCACGTTTCCATTCTATAACACCATTTGGCAGCAACCTCATCGACTAGTAAGTAATTGAAAATTAAATTTGTTCTAAATTGGTTGCTATTTTCATATCTGTGTTTTAGCCCCTGAAGATAACATAGTTTGTCGAAAACTTGAGATTCCAGTCAAAACAGTTCGCTACGCATATATATATAGGGTGGCCAAACACGTGACGTCATAAAAAAAAAATAGATTCCCCACATCGAGAGGAACCCAAATCACCCCCATATATATGGTCCGATTTTGTTTAGTTTAGGAGTTATGATTTTTTTTCGGATTTTTCGAGAATTTTTGAGTTCTGTGTTTATTTTTACCATAACTTCGTTAATAATTGTGATAAATGCCTGCTTTTTTCACGATTATGTAGCTAAGACCTAAGGCTTAACTATCATATAATCATTCAAGTCATGTAACTAATACTACTTTTTAATTTTTTTCAAAATCTTCGAACATAACAAAAAAGTAAAAAAGTGCAACAACTTTGAACGTTTATAAAAAATTGAAAAAACATGTTCTTACTATTCGTAAGTATCTTAAAAACTTCCTTACGGTATCAGCTATTTACCGTAAAAATTTCATCAACCTAGCTTTACTACATGCTACCGTAATTGTGGCTCAAATAGAACCGAACCCAAAATTGGATAACCCTCTGCTCAATAGAAATTGTTAGTTTCGGAAAAAAAATTTGCAAAAACCACAAAAACACGTTTGATTTTTAGTGAACAGCAGATTATTATTCATTTATGTTATTTACAAGAGGTTTTCAAAATGTCTGCCTCTAACAGAAATGCACAGTGTACACCTACGTATGAAATTTTGTTTTAAATCTCTAAATGCTTGTGTGTTGTTTTTCAACACATGTGTCGCTTCTTGAATTTTGTTCCTCAATGAATTTTCATTTGCACATTCTTGGGCGAATGTTATGTCTTTAAAATATCCCCAAACAAAAAAATCAATGGGGTTGAGGTCAGGGGAGCGTGGAGGCCATCGTATCGGTCCGTTTCGTCCGATCCATCTGTCTGGGAACCTTTCGTTTAAGTAGTTTCGCACGATCGTTGCGTTGT